ATGAACTAAATAAACCAGAAGGTGGAAAGAAAATAAAGAAGAGATCCGTTGAGAAACCAGAAGGTGGAAAAAAAATAAACAGGAGACATTTACCCATCTAATGGAGTCATTATAAAGGCAAAGACCCATTGATAAATGGAATCATTAAGGCAAAGGCTCACTAAATGAGTTACCTAGTTTGTATTAAATTTGGGTTGGATTTTCCAATTGAAGTAAATGACTTATTAGATGGGTAATGTCTCCATCATCATAAATTTTATCAAAATTCAGTTCAATTTACTTAAGTTTTGGTCAGTTTTAGTTCAGTTACTCTAACCTAGTTTAGTACACTAAAAACCTAGTATATTTCAGTTTTCTAACTAAATTCAGTTCTCTACAATACAGAATTAAAAGACAGGCGGAATGGAGGATTGCCTTCTGACCATTGAGCATGATTAATGGGAAAGATTTCTTCTCCTGTAAGCTGGAATCTTTTCTGCTTCTTGCCTTATCCTCTAACTCTTCTCATAACTCTAATTCAATTCCAGCAAACCAAATCCCTCAAGCAACCTGCAAGTAAAAAGGTTGCTTCTTTCGATCAATTTCTTGAATTTTAACCGAACATTCACTATGCACAAAGATACAACAACAACACAATGAAGGTGAACTAAACTCAAACATATACTGAAATTTTGTTAAAGAGAACGAAAATGTGAAATGCAATAGTACCATTTTCTCATTCAACTAGCAGATATTCCATTTCAGATCACATTATATAGAAGAAACTATTCATTGCAGAATCAACACAGTCAAATGCAAGATTCAATTTGCAGGGATTAGAAGTAAATGCATTGCACAAAATTATTTGAACAATACCTAAATACAATTTCTTTTCCAAAGAAAAGAAACATACAAGCAATACTTGAATCAGTAGACATTGAAAAATCTGATCTCTTAAAAAAAACCATTTCATTTCGAGCTCAGTAGCAACCACAAACTAAGCTACAACCTTGTCTTTTGATTCAAAATGAATTGAATCAGGAACAAAACAATCACAAACACCACAAATCGATTCGATTTCAAACAAAAGGAATCGATTCAGATTAACATCTAATTTCTGCAAACCCTAAACCACATAATCTTATATTCTAACCCTATAAATTACAACCAGAGAACGAGAGAGAAGAATTACACTGATCGGCATGATCATATTGTCACTCGAATCTCTCTTTTCTTACACATGCAGGGCAAAGAAGGAGACTGGATCTATGCCTAGATCTATCACAATGACAAAGAGTAGAGGAGAATCACCCTTATACGAACAAAGAAGACAGAGAGGAGAGGAGAATCGAGGAAAATCGCCGGCAACAATCGAGAGAGAGAGGCGGAGGAGAATCACCATTCTCTTTGCC